ACATGCTTCTACAACTACTCGGGCTTGATTGCGGGTTTCTTCTACTGTATCGATTTCAGCCCGGATAGATACCTCGTCTGAGTTCTCATTGAAATGAATGCACCGAAATGAAGGTTCTCCGACTTCTACAGGTATCATAGCATCGGTACCATACATTAACCTGAAGGGTGTTTCCCTTGTGGTTGACTGTGGCGTGCATCGGTAAGCCCACAGGACTTCAAACAATTCTTCTGCCCAGGCTCCTTTTGCATCCCCCAAGTGTTTTTTTAGCTCATTAAGAATAACCTTATTAGCTGCTTCAGCTTGCCCATTTAATTGTGGGTGTTCAACTGAGGTAAATCGGTGCTGAATCCCCATATCGGTCATGAATTTGTTGAGTTTTTGGTCAGTAAATTGAAGTCCATTGTCGATGATGACGGCGTATGGTATTCCGAAGCGTGTAATAATGTTCTTCCAAAGAAATTTTTGAACATTATTTGCTGTGATGGTGGCTAGTGGCTCGGCTTCAATCCATTTCGTGAAGTAATCAACTGCTACCAACAAGAATTTGCATTGGCCCTTGGCTATAGGGAACGGGCCGAGCAAGTCCATCCCCCATAGAGCGAACAGCCAAGGCGAACTGATGCTATGTAGCTGCTCCGCCGAGGCATGGATTAGGTTACCATGCTTTTGACATTGAACACATCGCTTGACAAACTGCGCACAATCGCTCTTAAGGGTTGGCCAGTAATAACCTGCTCTTAATACTTTTGCTGCGAGGGTTCGTCCACCTGAATGTGATCCACAAATGCCTTGGTGAATTTCTCGTAATACATAATCGGCTTGCGCCGAGTCTAAGCATTTGAGCAACGGGGTTGAGAAACCCCTTCTATACAACTCACCACCTATGACCGAGTATCTAGCAGCTTGAGTTCGAACATTTTTAGCAGATAATGGTTCGGCCGACTCTTTGCCATGAAGAATGAAATCAAGAAGTTTCGTTATCCATGTTGCATTGGATGCTGTCGAACTTGTCTCTTCCACTGCCATGCTTTCGGTTGCAGCTATGCTCGGGGTAGGTAACTTGAGATGTAGGGTAGTTCTAAGTTGGCAGGTTTCCGAGCACTGCTTGCCAATCAGGCCAGTTGATCGACTCGTTCATTGTTTTCCCTTGATGTGTGTCGTACTTGTACCTCATCAAAGTTGGAACACATGTTTATGGAAGAGGTGATAGTAACGTAGCAAGTTTGGATCTTTCACTTGAAAATGATTATTAACTTGTTCCGATACGATTTTTGAGTCCGTCCTGCAAATCAATCTCCGGACCCCAATGTCACCTGCCAACCTTAATCCTGCTAGTAGTGCTTCGTATTCGGCCTGATTGTTAGAGGCCCGAAATACGAAGTGCATGGATTGTTCGAGGGTTACCCCCATCGGCCCCTCAAGAATTATGCCTGCCCCACTGCCTGTATTATTGGAAGAGTCGTCGACATGCATTGTCCATTGATCGCTCTGGAAGTGACCGTTAGGCTGTAACTCATTGATGAATTCGGCCCAGTATTGTGATTTAATCGGCCCCCTTGGTTCGAATGATATGTCGAATTCCGAAAGCTCAATGGACCATGCCATCATTCGTCTTGCCAGTTTGGGCTTCCGTAAGACTTTAGCAATAGGACAATCAGTTCGAACCACGATCTTGTGTCCCTGAAAGTATTACCGAAGTCTCCGAGCCGTGTGAACGAGTCTGAGTGCCACTTTTTCCAATAATTGGTATCTACTTTTCGATTCCTGCAACATGCAACTGATGAAATAGATAGGCACTTGAGTTTCCTTTTCTTGGATCAAGACTGAGCTAATGGCTTCATGTGATACGCACATGTATACAATAAGGTCCATCAACGGGTCAGGCTTTGAGAGGATTGGAGGCGTCCCAAGACGCAGTATTAGTGTTTGAAAGGCCGCCTCGCACTCTTCTGGCCATGCGAATTTGTTTGTTTTTCTCAAAAGTCCCAAGATTGGTTTGGCCACTTCTGTGAGGCACGGAAGAAACCTCGACAATGTTGTGAGCCGGCCAGCCAGTCGTTGTACCTCCTTAACATTTTGGGGGCTTCTCATGTCTATCACCGCTCGGCACTTATCAGGGTTGGCTTCGATACCTCTGGCCGAAAGCATGAAGCCAAGAAACTTGCCGCCTACTATTCCGAATACGCACTTTTCCGGATTGAGTCTCATATCGTAATGCCGAACCTGGTGGAAAACCTCAACTAAGTCTGCGATATGATTATGAAGGTCATTTGATTTGACAACCATGTCATCCACATAAACTTCCACATTCTTGCCGATTTGACCCTTGAATATTTTGTTCATGAGTCGTTGATATGTGGCACCGGCGTTCTTGAGGCCGAATGGCATTACCCGATAACAATAGTTAGTCGAGTCAGTGATGAAAGCGGTCTTCTCCTCATCTTGCGGATGCATTTGAATCTGATTGTATCTTGAATAGGCATCAAGGAATGTCAACATGTTGTGCCCCGAGGCACCATCAACTAGACGATCAATGTTGGGCAGTGGGTAGGCATCCTTTGGGCAGGCTTTGTTCAAATTAGTGTAATCCGCGCACATTCGCCATTTCCCGTTTGTCTTCTTGACCATAACTACGTTTGCGAGCCATGTTGTATATTGTATCTCCCGAATGAACTTTGCTTCAAGTAATTTGGCCACTTCACTTTCTACAACCAGTTTTCTTTCGGTGCCCATCTTCCTCTTGCGTTGAGCTATTGGTTTAGCTTCCCGGAAAACAGACAGCTTGTGACACATAACCTTTGGATCTATGCCTGGCATATCCGAGGGTACCCACGCGAAAAGATCCTTGTTTTTCTGAATGACCTTGCATAATGCATGGCGATCCGATTCAGGCAATCCGGCTCCCAAGTATGTGACTTGCAAAGTCTCTAGGCCGACCTGGACTACAACCTTTTCTTCGATTGATTCCATCCGTTCGTCTTCATTCACTCTCGGATCTAAATCCCATGTTAGGGATTTATCTGACGCTGGAGGGTTTACCATGTGAACTCTCCTTGACTTTGATTGCTTTTCTTCAATAGGGTTTACTCGCAGACTAGCAAAGTAACATTCTCGGGCTGCCTTCTGATCGACATGTATTATAAGAATTTTTCCTTTGTTAGACGGAAACTTCATTGCTAGGTGTGGCATGGATACGATAGCTCCCAACATGTTCAGCGATGGCCGACCCAGAAGAATATTGTAGGACATATTGGCGTGTACCACTATATACTTCATGTACCTGTAAAAGGCACACTAGTAGTCTTCTTGTATTCTGAGAACCGAACGAGAGCTCCAATCGAATATTCCGGTGAGGGGGAAGCACCTGCAAAAGGCACTCCGACGCTCAAGTAAGGACAAGCACAAATATCGATGGTAATTAATGAACAGTGACGTTACCTCGTGACATGAGCTATTTATACTGACGTTTATGGGCCCTGACCTCCATGGGCCCTATGACAGGATTACCATATTAGGTAATACACCTCTAATCGGCTTTATAGGTGTGTTTAACTCTTAACTCTTTGATGGAGACCCTCCTTCCATGGTTGTAGTGATGTGTTGAAGGGAGTCACCTTGCCCAAAGATCTAGGCTCACCAAAGGTTAGGAAAAGGGGGTGTTTAAGGTGGAATAGGTTTTGGACGTGTGGATGTTGGTGGGTTAGGCAGAAGGTGTGTGGTTGCTCAAGTAGGTTGGCTCACTCCAAAGGTAGATGGAGGCCACTCTAGGTTTCTCACTCTCCAATGGTGGAGATAGGAGAAGGTTAGCCAAAGGTAACCTAGTGACTAAGGATGGGATTTTGAGGCATAAAATGCTCACTCAATATCATATAATCCAAAGTATTTACAAGGTATGATGCATTGGGTATTTATAGGAGGGGAGGCATCTAGGGTTTCATTTGGAGTATGCATGGCCGAAATTCACAAGGCAAATGCACTCCAAATGAAATGCACATTAACCCTAGATGCAACTTGGTGGCCAAGGATGGAATCTTTGGGTTTAGATTGGCTATATCTAGGTGCATGATAAGACCATGCAACCTTTGCCCTCCACTTGGGCCTAAGCCTTTCTAACACCAAAAATAGGTCCAAGAACACCAAAAAATGTGTCACCTCCTAATGTCAAACCCTAGCCCAAAATTAAAACCCTAATCATCTAGAGCACCCCATAATACAAGGGTAAAATGGGAAATACAAAAGAAAATAATTCTTATGACTAAGATACCCCAAAATACAAGGGTAAAATTGGAAATACAAGTAAAATAAATTCTATGACTAAAATACCCCAAAATACAAGGGTAAAAATGGAAAATCAAAGACAAGGGCAAAATTGGCATAAAAATAAATGCTATGCTAATAAAAACTTAGGAGCTAAAGTCCAAAAGTGGCCTTACTCCTCCTATGGTTTTTCAATACTAACCCATGCCTTTTACTTCCTTCAATACATCACCTCTTGGACTTCTTAGCCTTAGTGTTATTCCATCACTCTTGATTAAGGATAATTCTTAATCCTTGATTAACGGTAATTCGTATTCGATAGGTATTCGGTGGCCGATCTACTGTCGGCCATCTGGTTTGGCCTTTCAGGTGCCGATCGTATGTCGGCCACCTGGTTCGGCCTTTCAGGTGCCGATCGGATGTCAGCCACATGGTGGCCAAAAGGCCTTGCCAGTACAGGCAGGATGTGTGTTTCTTCTGCTGGAGATTGTTCATTGGAAATGTTCAGGAAATTAGGTGAATATAGAAATCAGGAACATATAATGTGTTACAAAGAGTAAGGTTTCCAAGTTGAATAGTGCCAGAATAATGAGCAAGAACATACTGGTTATTAGGTAATCTAATTGAAACAGGTTTTATAGGATTTAAGAAAGTAAATTGTGATTTAGAAGGACAAATATGTTCAGTGGCACAACTATCAAGAATCCAAGAGGATTGATATAGGTTGATACCTGGGGTGGTCAAAGGACAAATGTGAGCACTATTAACATAAGTGGAGGAATCCTGGTCCTGGACTGTTGAAGCAATGCCAATAATGCTTGATATTGATCTTTGGAAAAACTGAAATTGTTTTGAGGCTTGACATCATCTTGAGCAGAAGTGTTAGAAGTAGTAGGAGAAATAGTGTCTACCACATTCACAGAAGGCTTGGAAGTGGTGGATGTGTTCTTGCCATCAGTTTTATATCCAGGTGGAAAGCCATAGATTTGGAAGCACGTGTCTATGGTGTGGTTGGTCTTTTTGCATTTGGTGCAAAATCTGGTGAACACCAGTACTGTTGCCTTTGCCAGAACGACCATCGCCACGATTATTAGAAAATCCACCTCGACTGGAATAATTGTTGCAAGTAGAATTATCATTAATCGCAGCAAGAGCTGAAGATTCTTGGGGAACTTGAGGAAGTTGACCTCCGAATTCACATTCTTGTTGAAGAACCAAAGAAAAAGTGCGAGTGAGGCCAGGCATGGGTTCCATAAGCATTACTTGAGAACGAACTTGGGAAAATTCATCATTAAGGCCTCGTAGGAATTTGATCACACAATCATCATCACGTTCTTTTTGAATCTTTGAAAGAATGCCACAAGAACATGTAGTAGAATAAGAACAAGCCATAATCGTGCGATACATGAATAGTTCCTTCCAAAGTATGCGCAATCGAGTGTAGTATTGTGAAACGGTGAGATCACCTTGTCTAAAATTTTGCAATTCTTCTTGCAGATCAGCAATACGAAATTTATCGCCATGGGAAAAAAGATCACAGAGATCGCGCCAGATTTCTGAAGCAGAATCAATCCACATAATGGATTGACGAATAGAAGGAGGCATCGGACATGCAAGCCATGACATCACCATCTTGTTGCAGCAACGCCATGCTTCAAGAAGAGGATCGGAGGAATCTGGACATATATGGAAGAGTTCCAAGGAAGAACTGATCCTTGCTTTTGGTTTCAAGAGCCACTAGCATGTCGTGCTTCCATTGTTGAAAGTTGCTTTCGGAAAGCAAAGGTGTGACAAGAACTAAAGCATGATTTTCTCCTGGATGAAGAAAAAGAGGGTCTGTCGGATTGACAAGATGATCGGAAGTAACAGTTTTAGCGAAATTCGCCATGGTTGATCAGAGAAAAATATCAATAAAGCAAAGAGCAATGCGGAAGCAGAGGATCGTCACAATGATGATACCATGTTAGCAAGTGCAATTATTGAGAGAGTCATGAAAAGAAATTTTTATCCTATTTCATTTTTCCAGCACTCCCAGTTCTCAAGTATTAGTGTAATATATATACAATACATTGGGCGGTCCCTAACCATGATTAAAATTAACTTATTTAATCATGGACTAACTAATGAGAAAAATCTCATTAATCCTAATACCATATCCATTGTGTTCTATCTCGACTCACAAATTAACAATTATTCACATAAACATAATCTTAGTGCAAACTTATTTCTCATGAGTTCCTTCAAATTAGGAAACAATATATTCTTATTTAAGTTGTCAAAATATGGTATGAGACTAGCTTTTCTAAAAATCTTTTTTATACAATATATACAACTCCAACTTAGCTTCTTGCTTAAAAGAAAAAATTACACTGATCTCTCTTAAAATGTTTCTAAATGACATTCACATCCTCTTTAAATTTTAAAAGTGTTCACATATCCTCAATAATATTAAAAAAAAGTGATTTATTTTCATTTTATTAAATAAAATAAAGGGTGTAAATGTCGGTTACTGAAATAAAAGAAAGGTGAATGTCTTGTTACAAATTAAAAGTAATGTGAAAGTCATTTTTGTAATTTCTCCTAATTAAAATGAATCAAATATATATTGCTTGAATCAACTATCATGAATGTGGTACAGGTACATATTATTCTTTATAAAAATTATTTATGTCACATGTTATTTAAAAAGAGAGAGAGAGAGAATATGTTATTTGAAATTAAAATGTCTAGTCTACTTTATTTTAGAGAATAAAATAAATATATTAATTAAAAAATTAATGATTAAAATTTTAATAAAATACATAACTAATTAAAATTTATTAATTTTAAATTTTATGATTACAACTTATTTAACTTTGGAGTAGACTCTCCCTCACTCAGTAGGTATTATTTAACCTTTCATATATAAAACTAACGACAAAACAACAAGAAGCAGGTGTCAGCTTTGTTGTACTTTAATTTAATTAATAATTAGTAACCTTAAGCAAGTATTTGGAATCCGTATGCACTCAAAATGAATATGTTAAGGATTATGTATGTGACGTATAGTTGCTTGGCACATGTCATTAATGAAAATGGTTGCGACGTGGTTTGATGTGTCCTTTATAAATTTAAAAAAATGTTGGTGAAGTCACAACTATTAGTGGTGGTGGAGTTTGAGCGCATAACGTATCCATTTTCTTTTTAAAAAAATGTATTCGAATTATATGAAGAGATACACGTTGAATTAATTCTGTATCATTTTGAAGGAAATGGCGAGTGTTTAACTTTTTCTTTGAAAGTAAATTTTTCATCATAACGGAAATTCATTAGTTTATAATGAAAATTAATTTGCATTATCGCTGGCCATTATAATACAGAATAAAACAAGTTGTCAATATAATGAAAATTAGTTAATTTGGATTTTATTTTTTTTAACTCATTAATATTTGAATGAATGACACTATCATTTCTTGAGAGATGTTGATATTATACTGTGACCCCCTAATATGTTGAAATATATAAGTTAGTTTAGGTAACTTGACATTATTAACATAAATTATTGTAAAAAAAAAAAAACAGATATTAGAAGACGGATTGAATAGTATCAATTAAAAACCAATAATTTTTTAAAATATTGAAGTAGTATCAAAATAGTGTAGACAGAGAATCAAGAGTAAAGAACATAGTATTTTTATATTGGTTTGTCTTAATCCATCAAGATTGCATTCAGGTTCTTAATCAACTTGATTAAGTTCTACTATCTTTTACAAACATACAATTATTATTTCACAAGTCACTTTTGTCTCAACCTAAGTATTATTTAACTTTCCTTTTCAAGCAACTACCAAAGTATTCTTTAAACAACAAATCCTTCCCAAGTTTCAATATCTAAGTATTCTTTCACAACAAAGTCTCTTTAGGCTTCAACTACCAAGTATTCTTTACAATGAAGCCTTTTTCGACTTCAAGTAATAATACGAAGTTAAAGTTAAAATCTACTTGTTGTTTTGTCTTAATATCAAGACGCGATACAACCAAATTAAAACATGATATAAAAAGAATGAATACGAACTTTTACAACTAATCATTCACTCTTTTCTTTCTAAGTCTTCAAGTTTTTTTATATAGATGCTTCATGAAGATGACCATTACAAATCCTTAAGCATCTCTCACATGCTTGCTTCGTCTGTCTTCGTCTTCCTTCCTCGTGAAAAAAGGTGTCCATTGGTGCATTAATATTGTGAGCATTAAATGTATTTCAATAAATTGTCACTTCTTATCTAATTAAGGAGGTTACTTATCACCTTTATGTTACCAAACTGAAGGAACTATTGTGTGTGTTGCTCAAAAATAACTGTTTCTAAGATTTTGTATGCTTCAAGAGATTTGTTTGTCCTTTCTCTGATGCAAAACATTTCTTCATTCCTTTTTGAAGTGTGAGTACTGAAGAAGTTTTTTATTCTTTTCAATTTGTTAAGGAATAACATAGAAAAATATGATTTGGTTATCAAACATCATAAATAATACATAATAAATGCATTTATCTTACGTATGAAGTAGTTCATCTGAAAGACTACATGTCATCATAACCAATTGTCTATTCTAATTCGTCTTATAGTGTGATCTAAAAAACTTTTCTTTGTAAAACTTCTAAGTTTGTTATCATCAAAACTAATACCCTGAGGGGTCCAAGATCATTTCTTGATCTAACAATCTCCCCCTTTTTGATGGTGACAAACATATTTTTTAAAAGAAAATTTTATACGCTACAAATCTAGTCAATTTCAATTGACAAACGAATAACTAGCTTTCAAGATAATTTTTATCAAAGCAATCATGTTCATTTAGAGCAAGTGTTCATGACATGTTCAAAAAAATTGTTTATCATTTTAGAGTCATTTAGAGCAAACATCAGAGCCTACATAACAAGGCATATATGAATATGTTTAGTTAGACTATATATCAAAGCATATTTTAGAGCATACATATATTAAGTTAGACTATATATCATAGCACTTAAATATTTAGTCAGACTATATATCAGAGCATGTAATGTATAAATATTAGAGCATATAAAGAGAATTTAGAGTAAAGAAATTTGATCTTTTGAAATAAACTCCCCTTAAGATAGAATGATAAAGTTTGTAGTTTTGAAAACAAAATTTCAAGTACTAAAAGTCTATTTTACTCCCCCTTTTGGCCCCAACAAAAGTCAAGACCAAGGTAAAAATTGAGTAAAGCAACAATAGTCAAGTGAGGGTTCATTGTTAGAGTTAACCTCAATGTGGAGTTTACTAAGAAACTTCTGGTATTTAAAATCAGAGCAATGTTACTGATGAATTGATTTTTGGAGAGCAGAAACTAGTGTGTTGACCATAGACTTCAATTTTGAGACTGTCTTTGAAAGGACCTTTGCAAACAATGATGGCAACACTTGTGCTTCCTGATCAAGCAAAGGAGAGGGAACAACAACATGAGCAGGGACAGTGTATGTATACATGAAACAAATATTTACAATAGTATGAAGAGAAAAAAAAAAGATGGATAAACAAAATGGTGACATGGTTGGTAGAAAGCATTGCGAGAATATGGTTTGGTGGTAGAAGGCATAAGAGATTGTAGAACATTACAACCCATGGTTATGATTGGGTAATCTTTGTTAGCTTTAGAGCTTTAGACTGATGAGCTTTGATGTAATGCATATACCTTATGGTCTTTGATATATTCAGCAAGGTGTTCTTTCCATTTGCATACAAAGCACCACACAACCTTAAGTCTTAACTCAACTTGGAAAAATTAAGACTAGGACTGAATTAGGCATGGATTTTGAGGTGCACCAATCATGAATAGAAGTTTCTGAGTTGTACTTTCATAGCCTAGTTCCATGGCAACCCGAGTGCGGCAAGCGTCTTCATGCTCAAACCTTAGTTGTTTGATGAGCACCATAGTTCGATCATGCACCATGATTCGATCATCTAAGCAATGCAAACCATGGAAATCAAGGGGCTTCACATCAAGAATTTCTTCAATGCAAGGATAAAAAGCAATCTTGCATCCTTCTTGGTGATAAAGACATAAATATTCCTTCATATTCAAGTAAGACGATTTCCACTGAACATTGCTTATTATAATGAAGTTCGGGCTATCCTCCCCATCTGAGAGCTCTTCCATCAACTACTCCAAATCTTCAAAAGCAAACCCAGATGCTTCTATGGATTCACTTGGTGGAACAGTCCAAGGCCGTGATGGAAACTCTAAGAGAAACAAGATTGATATAACTTCTCGTTCAAACTTCTAAGGAAGGATCTTCACTTCTTAGACTCCTTCAAGCTTCTTCAATGGCTTCCATGGATGCTAGAAGCCATTTCCACCAAACAACATGAGAAAGAGAATCTCCTTGATGGCCCCACACTCTTGAAGAATGATAAGTCTTTTCAGTTTCTCACCACACTCAAGAGAAGATAAGAGAAAAAGAAGAATTTTAAAGAGAAAAAAAAGCTTTGAGAGAGAGAATTTAGGAGAGAATCTCCATCATGTCACTCGCACACCGACCCATTATATCATCTACATCATTTTACTATCGACCTAATTGTAATGACACAATAAGGCTCTGCATGCTTACTCATTTAAGCCTTTGAGGACTATGTATCCTACAGGTCACCTGTACACTAACCCTATTATGGGTTGGTATTTATATGATTATGGATATATCTTGAATATATCTTAATTCCTGGAGATCCATCCTAATATGTTGGAAGAGGGGCACAATTTACAAGATCATGAGATATTAATGATATGTGGTTGTAAATGATTGTTAAATGATAACAATTGGGAGCATTACTTTATAATCAATCTAGGATTTAAGAGTAAAAGATAAGGGATTCTGATCTCAAGGTATGCTTAATATATAGGAGGACATTATCAAGTTTAAGTTAAGGTTACACTTATTGAATGTTCTGAGCTAGGAAAATTGTTAGGCTTTCTTAGTGGGTATTTTATTAAGGATTCTCTATTGACAATCCCCTTACCAAAATAGTCTTCGTCTTCCTTGCATGTGAAAATTAGAGGTATACATTAGTGCATTAATTGTGAGCATTAAATGTATTTCACCAAATTATCACTTCTTATCTAATCAAGAAAGCTACTTATCACGTTTATGGTACCAAACAAAAGGATTTGTTGCGTGTATCAATCAAAAAAAATTCTAAGATTTTGCATGCCTCGAGGGATTTGTTTATCCTTTCTCTAATGCAAAGCATGTCTTCATTCCTTTTTGAAGTGGGAGTATCAAAAGCTTTTCGTTCCTTTCAAACTTTTAAGGAATAACATAGACAAATATGATTGGTTCTTATACATCATACATGATATATATTAAATGCATTTAGCTTATAGACAAAGTAGTTTGTCTAAAAGACTACATGTCATCATAATCAAATTCATCTATTCTAATTCTTCTTATAACATGATATGAAAAAATTTTCTCTAAAAAACATTTAAGTTTGTTATCATTAAAACTGTATTTTGATCTAACAATTATAGTTTCATCTCTTATTTGTCAATTTCTCTTTATGTCCACGTAACATCTGAACAACAACGGAAAACATAAAATCAGTTAACTTAGGGTTCACATGCAAATAGATCATAGATATCCATGCAACATTTTGTGTGTGTGAGAAAGAGAGAAGGGATTTACTTACTCCAAGTAAGTCTTTGTAGACTTACTCTACTCAGTAACTCATGTTGTATATTAATTTTCAACAATCCAACCGTTAATTTAAAAGTTCTTAATCTATAAGATAAAGTCTACAATTTTAAAAAATAAAATAAAAATTAGTTGATACTTTGTTTCATTAATTCAAATTAATCGATAATCATAAAAATATTTTATACGTTAATTTGAATTTATATAAAATGTATTGTATGATTTTCAATATTTTTAAAAATTTATTGACTTTATCTATCTATTAATAACTTTTAATTTGATGATTGGATCATTGAATTTTGATTAGAATTTATATATATACACACACGCGCACACACACACACACACACACACACACACACACACACACACACACACATATATATATATATATATATATATATATCAAATAGCTTTTATGATTATCCATCAATTTGAATTAATGAAAAGAAATATCAAATAGTTTTTAAATTTGTTGACTTAATTTATACATTAGAAACTTTTAATTTAATAGATTGTTGAAAATTGATATACAACATGAGTTATTAAATGAAATAAGTTATCCAAAACTTATTCTTGGAATGTATATATATATAGGACTATAAACAAAATCTTTAGGTGTCTGTCGAGCACTCTACACTAAGTTGTATCAAAATAGCTCCACCACAAAAAGTTACTCAATTCTTGGCTTACCCTTCATCTAATCTTATCCCGCTCTCTTACAATATGATCATCATTGTCCATATGAAAAAAAACAAGGATGACCTTGTAACATGGTGACGATGATAGTGATAGTAGTGGACCAAGGGTGATAATAGTAGTGACAATGATAGTAACAACAATGTTAATAGCCAAGGTGGCAATGATGGTTGTGACAATGATAATGTTGGCAGTAGTGTCAATGATGGTGGGAAGGTGAGTGAATAAGAGAAATTTGGAAGATTAATCCAATAAGTGATGGACCATAATATATTTTAATGAGTGTTTTAATCATAATCTTCTATTTTGATCTGACAGTTGAAAGTAATAGTTCTTGTTCTCACATAAAAATGTCATTATCACAATATATGTTCCCTATATATCACTCTTTTAAATTATACTAGTACCTACATGTTTTTTTTACTCACAAAATTTGTTTCTTATTATTGAACTTAAGTTAGTATACATGTTTGACAAATTTTTTTCTTTCTATTTTGTTGAATGTACATTACAAACAAATTTCAGTTAAATAAAAGACACATAGTGTTATTAAAAAATAAAAAATAAAGTTAAATTTAACTCAACTTAATCTTCTAATTATCACATACAATAAAAGTTTTTTTAGCAATTCTCGTTGGCATTTCAAGTTGGCGTTTCTGGGCAATATGATTGATTGATTATGCTAAATATCTTCAATCCGTTGGTGTGGAGTGTAGAACCGTGTGATTATCATATTCATATCCACCAGGAATTAAAAGAGGATCAAACATCACAAATGACAACAATCCCTCGTTGAAATGGGGATAACGTTTCTGACATTGCTTTAGAAAGAAAAAAATGAACCCAAAAATAATAAACAACAATCACCAGCTGGTCGGAATCAAAGAACTTCAACATTGTCGTTTAGTGTTTTCCGATGGCCAATTGGAGTGGTAACGCAGTCTCATCGGGATAGGAATCAGAGGACGTTCTGGATTTACGTCCTTGGTACTTACGTTTTTGTCGTTTATGTCATTTTTGTTCAACTTTGAATAATGTACTTTGTTTTACCACTAGCTGTCATTGTCATTGTCATTTTCCTTCACCTTGTTCAAAAGAATATTTCTCCATCCACAAGTAAATTATATATTTTACGTGAAAATTTGTAAATTTGATTTTAAGGGGTCTTGATTTTATAGAATTGCCTTTAGTTAAATATACTTTTCAAATAAAATATTTTATGTTTAGAAACAAGTTTAAAATATAAAATTTATTATTATATTATAAATTACAGTTCAAAACTTAAAAAGTAAGGCTACACCTTTACCTCTCCAATCAAATTTTTCTTTTTACACAACCATATCAAACTATATTCCTTTTACCCTTATATTTATCATTGAATTTTTTTATGATTATTTTTTTTTTCAATTTATCCTATTATTACTATTTATAAATTAAACTTAATATATTTTAATAAAAACTATCAATAGTTAAAATTAATTTTTTATCATAATTTATATATTATTATATAAATCAATTGACGTGAATTTATTATAGCTTAATTAGTAGTGCAACTATATTAAATATTAAAATAAAAATAATTAAATAAAAAATAAAAAATAAAAAATAAAAAATAAAAAATAAAAAATAAAAAATAAAAAAGCTTTGTCTAATGATCCTATTCAACTCACGTAAGATTGTTTAGTATTAATGATATGTGGTTTCTAAAATAATAAATTATTATCATTTAAATTATTTATTATAAATGTAATTTATAATTTATATCTTAACGTTTTTTATTATAAACTTTATTTTTTTTAAAAATAAATATCGATTATTATGCTACTACTTTGTACTCAATGCAACATCTTAGCTTTGTATATCTCAAGAATTGGAAAAATTATTGGATGATCTTGAATTACATTGTACCAATCTAATCTTTCTATGACACAATTAAATATTATTAAAAAAATTTATAAATTAAAAAAATTATATATATATATATATATATATATCATATCATATAATAATTCATTGGTATCACGAAGACGTGATAATAATAATTTCTCCAAAAAAAAAAGTATGGGTAGGTTTATAATGGGAAACAAGTGACATTAACATGCTGTTGAAATGTTTAGTAACCCTAGTTTAATCGTTTCATGTGAACCAGTCAACCAGGCAAATGAAATGAGTTACCAAAACCCAAAGCCCATCTCATATCGATGATCAACTCTGAATTCCCAAGCAATACATTTTAAGATAAACCAAAGATTCCATATATGTGTCTGAAATAGGTTAATGGCCATTTCCGATTGCTATAGCCATTAGCCAAGGCAACTCCTCAAAGGGTAACAAGTAATAACAACCAACCTTAATTTCTCAGAATGCATACTCTATTGCCACTTTGGTATGCTCTATTAACAATTATTCCTCTTCACCACTCTGCTCCAATACTCAGCATCCCACTATACCACAAGAAAATGGCGAGTGATCATCGTCATCATCACCCTAACACAGAAGCCATGGCAGATATATACCCTATAGACGAGGCCTACGCAATGTTCCTGTGGGTCGGCACCCCAGTGCAAATCGTGTTCGTCACTCTTGACACGGGAAGCCCCATCACATGGTTCCAATGCGACCCTTGCCCCCACTGTTACCCCATGCAGCGCCCTCCCTTCAACTCACGTGCCTCAAGTTCCTTCAGAGAACTCGGGTGCTACTCCGACACGTGCCTCATCCCAATGATGAGGGGCATTTTCGGAAACTGCACTTCATGGACATGCAGATACAATGTAGAATATCAATTTTCCACGCAACCTCGCTCTCGCTCTCGCTCTCGCTCCTTCGGTAAGATGGTAACCGAAACCCTCAACTTGGAACGTTCGAATCTTCAAGTCAATGACTTCATCGTGGGGTGTGGCGATTCCTACGAAGGTCCCTTCAGGACTCAGTTTTCGGGTGTTTTTGGTCTCGGAAGAGGTCCACTTTCGGTGCAAAGTCAACTCCATGCAAAGGCCTTCTCGTTTTGCATGGTGAGTCAAGAATCCGAGAAACCCTCGTCTCTTGAGTTTTACGACACGCCACCTAAACCACACCAACGTGGTAGAAACGTTTCCATTATGGTTCCATTGAGGGACAATAGTTGGTACCCTTACTATTACTTTGTGCAGTTTGTGGGAATAGGGATCAACGGCTTCATGTTGGATATTCAATCTAGTGTTTGGGGTTACGGGCTTAACTACGATGCTGGGGTTGTTGTGGACACGGGAACGGTGTTAACCTATTTGCCACGTGATGCGTATAGTGTGTTTAGGTCGGAGATACGTAGAACGGATCGTAACCTTACCAAGAGACGAGGGTATGAGGAGCTAGAGTTTTGTTACGAAGAAGGTGCAACGAATGTTTATCCAACCGTTGAATTTTACTTTGAGAATGGTGATGTTGCGGGTGAGAATTTTGTGTCATTCAAGTTGGACAACGACCAATTGCTCTTGAGAGTGGAAGAGGGAACGGTTTGTTTGGCGTTTGCTGAAGGGAAAAATTCTGCACTTACGGTGATTGGCAGTAACAATCTCCAAGGAACTCAGTTAATGTATGATCTGGTCAATGAGATCCTTGTCTTCACGTATAATAACTGTTAGAAGAATGAGGTGCCATTGGTTGTTTAATTAATATAGAGAATTGTATTATTTTTTGTCATTCTCATTTTAAGGTAATATTGTAAGTGTAATGTGTCAATGAGTATGTTAGCAAGTTGGTCATGACTCAAAGTACATACTATTTTAATAACCTGATTTGAAGCTTGTTTAGCAAATTAAAGAATATCTATATGAGAACACATTAATTAAGTATGTCTTTGAGGGTAGAGGGTGCACAAATTAAGGGTATATCTTGAAGTGTGCACACTAATTAATGTGTTTTTCTCATCAAGCCATTAAGAAATACAGAGCCAGCCATATAATAAGTTGATCTCAATTGATTTTGCGGACATAACGTCACGCGAAGCACCAGGAGTTGTGTTGTTAATCAAGTCGTGCTCTCACTAAATGAAAAATATGTGGAAATATGAGTCTACTGATTGTGTTATTATTGATTCTGTGTATAACGAGAAATATGAGTAACATCATATGAAAATACTTTATTCGTCCTTTGTATATTTAATGTTATGAAAGCAACGATATGAATGGGCCATAAACTATAAGAGATAGGATCATTTATGAGGGGTCGAGAATAACTAATATTTGTGGGAGGAGAGTGGACACTTAATAATCATTTTAAGTTTGTAAGTAAAAAATTGTGGATATGGAAGAATTATTTTAAACAGTTAAAAGAACAAAGATAAAAAATAAAAATAAAAATAAAAAGATAAATATCATTTTAAGTATAAGCAATAATTTAATTTTAATAATAGGCTAAAAGAAGTGTGTATATATATATAGAGAGAAAATGTGGAACAAAAACTCAATTAATCTAATTAAAATAAATTGATTTTTTTTGCTTTTGACTTTTTTTAATTTTTGGTTTTTTGGTTTTCAATTTTTTCGGTTCAATTTCTGCAGTTTATATTAGACTAGATCAGTTATGAAATGTCCTTAATGTGAAATGCTTGTGAGATCATGTGCACTATATGTGTGATCATGCATTGTAATATGATGACATGTTTTTGGAAAGTGCTTAAGAAGTTAGTTGGTGGAGATCACAAAAGGTTGTTAATTAACCTTGGCCTTTGAGTGATGACATATGGTGAAGAAACTCCAATAATTCATGTTGATCTCATCTGAGTTTGTACGTACTACGTAGATAGGTGACCCTGACTGGTCATCAGAGATATTAGAGTAGTTGAGATCGTATTCTCTATGAGTGTACTCCTACTTCTACACATTTTGGCTTACTAAAAAACGTGCATACGGTAGAAATTTAGGAGCTAAACATGCATATGCAAATGTCTTGAATCATATTATATTATAATGATGTGAAAGTGTGTGTGATTCCATCTGGGATTGTTGTTGTATTGTCATATGCATTTGGCAATTACTTGTTACGCGGCAAATATATCTATTATTGTAATAGTAAATTAGACAAAAGTATAAGTTATCAAATCTACATGGACTTGAGTTATAATTGTTTAATTAAATTTATGCTACTAAATAGATGATTTAATAAAAATTGAAATTGTTTAACAAGAAATATTAAATTTAGTGAAAGTAAAATAAAGCAATAAATTATAAAAAGTTTGAATTTATAATAAGAATAGTCGCATGTTGATTCACTATGAAGTGTTAGTGTAGATATTTAGAGATATCTATTGATTCTTAAAATATAAAAATTTAAAAAAGTTTCTAGAAATAAAAAAAAATAAAAAAAGTTTTAAAGCATTTATATTTAAAATAACTCTATAACATATATTTTTACTAAAAATAAATAATTATAAAATATGTATTCATAGTCATAATAAATTATACCAATGATATTTGAGTATTGTCAATTATCATTAATGGATGATGGAATAAAACTTCAAGGAGGATTGCCTTCTTCTCTATGCTTCTACATCCTCTATTGATCTTTCATTAATGAGGTCTTTGATGAAGAAGAAACTTCAAATAATGGAAAAGACTAGAAGATGGTGGCACTACTCCAAGAAGAAGATAAGCCAAGAAATGCATCTCTCCAAGAGGAAATGACCCTTAATAAGAGATGCATACAAAATCACACCCAAAGAGGGAAACTCCTAGACTCTTAAAAAATGAGAGGAAAAAAAAAATCAATCTCAATTCCCATATATATGATCAAAAGTGATGAAATATACACAATGAGATCCTATATATAGAATTTAGTAGCTTGTGGTGCAAATTAAACTAACCAAGATAATGTAACCAGAACTTGGTTAACTTATACTCAAATCAACTAACTCTAGTTCAAATTTGAATTTAAATTTAAATTTTTCTCCCTAAAAATGCCAACATCCTAGATCTAGAAGAGTAAATAAGAGCTTGTCAAATGACAAGGTGCAAAACATGTGATGGGAATGTGTTAATAAAAATGAGGGTGTAAAAACAAACATGCAAAAAGTGTAACTTTTATGTAAAACATATGACTTGGTAGCCATTATGTGAAACCAACAAGTGTATGGTGCATAAAGTGGACATCCACTTCATAGAGGAAGGGCTTCTCACTCTCCCTTAACCCAAACAAGCCTCAAAACACATTTTTCAAATACTAGTTAAATCTTCCTAAAATACTAAACACACTCCTAAAAAATTAACCGAAAATAAATTTCTAAAATATTTGACCCAAAAATACAAAATCAAAAATAAAATAAAATATTTATAAAAAAAAAAATAGACTATTAAAAGTGACTCAAAGCTCAACATAAACTTGTATCTTCTTTTGAAGTCTAACTCACTCCTCTTTTACCCCTTCTGAACTTGACCTATGATTGTGATTGCATCAATGGATGTCTCACCAGGAATCGGGGAGGGAAACGTAATATAAGGTTTGAACCTTCGAAATTCTTGTATGTATTTGATCTGAATAGGTTTTTTTTTATGCTACATTATAATAAACTTAATTTCAGAACTTTTGAAACCTTAACATTAACAATGGACTGTCAAGAACTTAGAGAAGACAGAATGGTCAGTTGGTATCTAGTATGGTTCGTACATGCACAGTATATCACGAAAAAGTTTGATGTAGCTCATTTTAGTACTTCATTGTTTTATAAATGTTTTCGAAAATTGATGATATAATTTTCAACAACAAAAGAAATGCGCTTAAAAATTGGAAGGTAGGATGGGACACGGGTAGTCATGTTGAATATTACAGTTCAAAAATGCCACAATACATTCTAGTTTTTCTGATGCCTCTAAGAATAACTAAGTTGTTTGATAAAGTTACAAAAGTCATCTCTTCGTACTAATTTGGGGTTCCTACCAAAACTTCATGGAGTGGCGTGGGAATCACACCACTGCACAACCCTCGCATTTTTGCTGCTAATGCTTCACAAATTGCCTTTCATCATCTTCTCTTTCCTTCCACTTTGCGTATTTTCTTTCTATGCTTTGAAGCATTGCTATCTATGTTCAGATTCACCTTCGGTGGGTTTGAAAAACAGAATGAAGCAGCTACAGCCTGCAAAATATCATATTTTAGTCTAATTATACTTGATACTTGATTTAATGTCCAACAATTTGACAAGAAGTTTGATAGTTTTGATATTTTACAAGCACCTCCTCATCGGGGGCATGGTATAACATGGCTAATATAAACAATCATTACACAAGCCAGACTGCCACACAACTTATTTGATAAAATCACAGAATGGGAAGAATTTAGCACTTAAGAAAGTTATTACTTTCTGCCACTAAACATCTTTTGAACATTTTCTGGCACGGCATTGTGCAGAGTCTTACCCATCTTGCAGCTAGCATAACGTCAAACAGGCCTGAGAGCTTAGTATTTAGCAATTAACAAGGATAGAACAGGGGAAGAGAAATACGCATGTTATTCTAGGAAAGAAAGGAGATTAACAAATTGCCAGTATTTGACACAAGATGTTAGATGAGGAGGGGATGGATGGACCAGGTTTATGATAAAGAAAAATGAAATTAAAATATAGTGGAGTTGGGTAGGTAACAAAGAAACGAGGGAAAGTTATAAATAGCTTGTCAGCTCCTGCCTCTATATATCTATCCTCTATAACATATATTCCACAATTTGATGAACTTTGCTGCAAAAGTATAAAAAAAGAACCCTACCAAAACTCCCTTTTTTATGTTGCCATGTGTAATTATTTATTATTTGTTTGAGTTATTTATTCTTATAATCTTGTTACTCGACCATTACTACAATGTACCGCTATTCTTAGGCTTGACATTAAAATGAAAGTAAAATAGCAGAACTACCGGAGGCAGATGATTTATAATGTCCAGTGAGGTATGTAGGTGTTCTTTCATGCACACGCACACACAAATTTGGACCTAGATCAGTTCAGAAAGTGTACGTGTCCATTTGATGGGCATGAATATTTAACAGTTCAGAAAATCATGAAATAACTACCGTAAAATGTAATGAGAGTTTTACCAGTAAATCCAGCCGGTGAACATTGAATATATCTTTCATGGAATGTGAATTATATGCTAATATATATGACCTATATGCATCTTTAGCCATACTGTTCAAATGATAAATGCCAGCCACCAACTTCTCCTGCACAATCCAGATGGTGCAGTGTAAGATAAACTTTTGTTGACACATTAAATAAAATGTTAATTAGCATTTGAGAAGGAATATACATACCAGTTGAGATTGTACATTTTCAAGCTTCTTATCATCAAATGCATACTCTTTCACAGGAACCTTCACTGCCTAAAATTAAGCATAAGTTTATAATTTCATGATTCAGAATAATAATCCAAGAATATATTATTTTATTCATTCATTTCATCAACAAATTTTATACACTTCCATTGGAATACAAACTGTCTTTCCTTTCTCGGAAACAGGCACAAGGCATGACAAACCAAAAGTTTCCTCAAGTATTCTATATATTGAAACTTTCTAAGATAGAGCAAGAGTATACATTAGAAGCCTCTTTTATTATTACCTTCTACAATAAAAAGAGAGAAACTGACCTTCAAATAGTGAAGAAATTGCAATTCTTCAGGAATCAGGAAAAGTAAAGCATTTCCTTTTCCGCCTTCCCCACGTGCTGTTCTACCAACCCTATGGATATATTCCTGGAAGCAGCATAATCACATATTATACTGTGTAATGAAGTATAAGACTGCAGAGAAACAAATGGAAAAAGATAGCAACCATCAATAAAGAACAAGAAGTACCTTTGGTTCATCAGGTGGATCATACTGCACAATCCAGTCCTGCAAAGCAGAAAAGGAAAAAATGTGATAAAATGTTTACACACGCTTTCTTGATTTCCAACTATTATATTGTTAAGTCAAGTTGAACTGTGTTACTGCCATTACATTTTATTAGAGTCAACACTAATGACTTTGGAAGGCTTTTAGATCACAGAAAAGTTTCCTTCCAAATGTTTCTTAGACTCGTCACAATGTATTCTAACATTGTCCAGCTGCTGCTAGCTGTTTGTAGTTAACTCTGGTATTTTTGGGAATGTTGGAAGTCGGGTGTCTCAAGTGGGCAAGAGTCAAGACTCTTCAGTATTGTTTCTTTAGTATAGCATCGGGGATTTCGCTATTGTCTATATTGTGAGATAATGTGGTCTTCTTTCTAGTCCTTTCATGTAGCCCAGTTGTTCAGCTTAGCTTAGTTGACATGTTTTACCTGTTCGTTCATAATTTGGCACTATTTACATTTCTCTTAGTAAGATATCTCGTCTCCTGCTTGTGTTTCTCTTTTGGAGGTTTCACCCTGCATCTATCATCGGTTTCTATATCCAAATTCATCCAGTCATCCAATGACAAAGGATGCTTCAAATCAGACAAGGCTACCTAGGTTCTAGAGTACTTACTATAGAATTTCCCTTCTTTAACTTCTTTATGGAAGTTTTTCTAAACAAAGTTTGTATTGTTCTCTTGAGACATTTCTGTACATGCAGTTGTGATTGATTAGTTGCAAATTGCAACTGAAGAGTCTTGGGAGTAATCCTTAAAAGTATGATACAACCTAAAAACACTTACAGGCCATAAATATTCATGTAATTTAACAAGAAAAAATAACATACCACATCAGGTATGTCAAGTCCACGAGCAGCAACATCTGTACAGAGCAAGATCCCCTTTTCTGCTTTGCAGAAGTTAAAAAACGTAGTAGTTCGGGCATGTTGCTTCTGTTTTCCATGAATATTTAAGCAGTCCAACCCAGTACACCTGAGAAGATCTGCATGGAATTTGACAGAGTTGCATGAAGAGAAAAAGACCATCACTTTCTTTGATTGGTATCTCCTCAAAAATGAATATAGAACAACAAAACGTTTAGCACAGGGAACAACAACATAGCCCTGCTGCAATCCTTCATTTGTGACCTACATTCATAAGGATCATGTCAGTCAACGTAATAATAATGTTGAAAAACAAATTTCAGAGCTTATGATAGAAGAGAGGAGGCATCACCTTTTTTCTCCCATCATCTACATCAATATAGATAGGAGTTGTCTGAAATGATAAGCGGGCAAGATCCTCAACCTGCATTTAACACAAAATTTATCCAAAAGCTCAGACAACAAGAAATATATGTTTGCATTCCCAGATTCCCATTCTCAAATGTAACATGCGTTCACTTCAAGTGTGTCATGGGAAAAATGCTCGTTTCTTGGTAATATTGAATAAGAAAACAAAACTGGAATTAAGATTAGCTTTAGACGAAGGAGCACAATATAAGGATGAAATGACAACAAACCTTCTTTGTTTGTGTAGCTGAAAACAAAGCTGTTTGCCTTTTCTGTTAAATGAGAAACAATTTAATTAGCCATACTCATAGATATTAAGTAGAAAGAAAATCTAGATATATAGACTTAAAAGCTAAGTATAATTTACATGAGAGAGAGACAAGGGAAAAATTAAATAGGAGATACAACAGCTACATCTCAGCCTTCAAAGATTGGCCCCAAACTTAAAACATGCCAGTCAACTGACCACACATATTTGGAACTTTTACGAGAGACATTAATACAAAAATCATATAACTACCGGAAGAAATGTACTTTGTGGGGTAAAAACATCGGTAATTTCGTTTGGATATAACAAAAAAAAACAGTTTTTATGTAGTAAATCAGCTGCAGGAGAAAAAAAGTTGTTGAAAAATAATCATAAGCTTTTCAAATTTTCAGATTAAATATTTTCAGGCAAAAAAAAAAAAAGCAGTGCTTACCAAAGTAGTTGTCCCAAACAACCAGCTTTTTTTTTTTGTAAAAGCTTTTTTCATTGAAATCAGCTGAAATGATGGGAAAAAATCTTTCCAAAACATGCTATCAAACTCAAAAAACTCACTAGGAAGTATTACGGTTAGGGGAAAGTAAGTAATCCCAGACAGTGGTGCAAAGGAGTAAACACCGAAAGGCCATAGCACCAGAAAAGACTCAAGTAGAAATGGAAAGTTGAAACCACCTTGCACAACTTTACAACTTGATGGAGATAATAATACTCATACTAGTTATAAAAAAAATATTAAATGGGATGTGAACCTTCCTTCATAAAACATGTCACCTCCTGTCTTTATTTTTTTTTTCTTTCTAGACCTTTTGAAAACATTTCATTTCTTCTTGGGACCATAAAATTTCATTGATTTTCATTAACAGCTCAAAAGACACTTGAAAATTGAAATAACCACTTAGAAAAATATTTGCTGTTAATTATTTGTCCAATTTAGTTTTCCATTAAACAATATTATAATATTTATCACATTAGTACTTTTGGTTCGGTGTTTTCCAGTTAAATAATCCAATCAACAAAGCAGCAACACAGTTGGATTATTTGTCCAATTTAGTTTTCTATTAAACAATATTATTATATTTATCACATTAGTACTTTTTGTTTGGTGTTTTCCAGTTAAATAATCCAATCAACAAAGCAGCGACACAGTTGGATTGTTGGACATGATGCAATTTCATATTTATTACCTTATTGCACAACAAAATAGGTGGATGGAAAGGAGATAACAGAAACAAATGGCAAAAGTTCTGAATACCTTTGGAAGTAAGTTAATAATCTGCTTCATCTCCTCCTCAAAGTTTGATTCCAATATCCTGTCAGCTTCATCAATGATGAGACACTGCCAAATCAAACAAGAGCTCAGTCCTCAGTGTAAGAAGGATAACCAGGATATAGACTTACAGATGCATGCAACTGCTAATATTCCAGAAATGAAATATATAAAAGGAATAAAATCAAGAGTCATCACTCCAAAATGGGAAAAAACAGAAAAGCCTCCCACACCAGAAGTTACGACATGTCAGCATTGAATACTGTGATTGCTTTGAAGAACAGCCAGCTTCCCTTCCTAATAACTAGTTTCTTCTTATGTGTTCTTGAACAACAAACAAACATAGAAGGCAGAAGACTAAGCAGTGATAATAAGGACATCTGACTTATCATTATGCCACCAGATAAGTTTACAACAACAACAAAGCCTTCAGAGCTCTATCACCAACCAAATTTGCAGTAAAACCCCATTCAGAACAAGGTCTCTTTTAACAATTTTTCTTAAAAATTTCTTGCCTTTTAATCAAAACATCTTCCATTTTATCTGTGCTTTTCTCACTTAAGCCTATATCAGTCTTCCAACATCACCTTCAGCAAGATTCAGTCATATTCTCAACAGATGCTACCTAGTAGGCTAGTACCCAAATACAAACAAATAGACAAATGTATTTGTACCACCCCAAGGACTTCAACTAAAAAGTACACTCCAAAGCCAAATTGTGCACAAGAGAATAGCCTCATGCAGAGCATCTCTAATTCAGCTCATTTCACATAATTATTACATTTCTTTTGAAAACTAAGCTATTACTTTCCAACATTTAACCACTCACAAACAAGCAAGAGCACGCATTCGATGAATCAACATCAACACACATCACAAATCCCCAAATAACTAACCTACAAAATGCTTACATTGTTTGCCAGTGTCAGTAATTAAACACATGCACATCATAGCAAACCCAAACAGGTCACCGAAACACGTTAACAACCATGTGAAAGATCCAGAATCTACCTTCAAGTTTTTAAACACGAACCCCTTCGTGTTTTGAAGGTGGTCGAGGAGGCGACCCGGCGTGGCCACCAACAGGTTCACCCCTTTAACAACGCGCTCAGCCTCCCCCTTCCTCCCGGAGCCTCCAATCACCAACCCTAGCGTCTGCGAATGATACTTCAGCACCTCCCTCGCCACCGCGTGCGTCTGAATCGCCAACTCTCTGGTCGGACATATCACAACAACACCCGTTCCGTTACGCGGCGTGAACTGCGCGCTGCGCAAAAGCTCCACCGCCGGCACCAAAAACGCTAGGGTTTTTCCGGCACCGGTTCTCGCCGCGCCGAGAACGTCGCTTCCGGCCAGAAGCGGCGGAATCGCCCTCGCTTGAATCTGCGTGATTTCAATTTATGAATAAACGCGATTACTAATTAATCGATTAAAATAAGATGAAACGCAAAAACGGCGTCGTCACCTGAGTCATGCGGTGGAAGCCCATGTCTGCAATGGCTTTGGAAGTGGGTTCGGACAGTTCCAGAGAGGTGAAGGACTCGGTGCTCATGATTCCTGATGTGACGGTGTTGTTCGTTTCTGTCTCTTTTTCTTCTTCATCTTCGGTTTGTGTTTGCGCAGTGTCATTCTTCTCCTCCTCCTCTTGTTTCTGCTCGGTTTTATGAGGCCTCTTCCTCTTGCGAAGCTTCTTCTTGTTACTTTTGGTTTGGTCCTCGCGCTCAGGCGAAGAGGTATCGTTGTGCTCTGCTTCGGCCATAGCTGCTTCCTCCGCGGGTTTTGGTTCCTTTCAGAATTTGCGACAGCCGAATAACTGAACTAGTCTCTGTTGTTGTTTAGCCGTTCGTTAAACCCTAGTAGGTACAAGCACCTCGCGTTGGGCTCTGCTAGGTTTTTCTTTATTTTTTTATTTGTTATTTTATATTTATTTTATAATAATTATTATAATTATTATAATTATTATTATTATTATTATTATTTCAAAATATGAATGCAACTCAAGAATTCAAATTTTTTTCCATTTTTTTAATTGGTCCAAAGAAGCAAACCCAAATGAATTAGGGATGATCAACGGTAGAATACAATTAATTTTGGATCAATATAGCCAAAATTGATATAACCTACAAATTATATTATTTAGAGGGGTGTATTGGATTAGGATTTTAAAGGACTTTTTTAAAATACTTTATAAAACCCATTTAATTAGTTAAAATAATCATAAGAATTAATTTCCATATATAAAAATAATAATAACAATTAATTATTACATTAGTAAAAATTTTCAGGATGTTACAATTCAAATATAAATTATGGTTCAAACTCGACTAGTCATGTATATAAACTTAGGAATTTAAGTTTCACATATGGCTTCATATTCGGCCATAACTTAGGCATTTTTATTCTCCATGATTTTGCACATATGGCTTCGCATTCGGCCATGTTGGCTAGCTAGCCGACTTTAATCCTAGAGTGGCACATCATGGATTCGAACTTGGTCATGTTAAGTTGTCAATTTTTGACTACTTGGATGAGTGCTTATATGGCTTCGAACTCGGCCATATAGGAAATTCTTGTTAAGAAAATCTCGGATAGGTTAAGAAACCAAAGACATAGAGAAAGTATGTAAAAAGAAACATTTTATTAATGACCTCATATGTGCCTCGTTAAAACCTTTTCAGCCAAAAATCATTTTTTTTATTGGAAAAAAAAGGTTGAGGTAGTAAAAAGAGTACATCACTTGAACTTTACAAACGGCTAGCTATAGTAGAATTTTAGATGGGTGACGTTCCATGTCCTTAGGAAAGCTTTGCCATTTAGTTCTTCTAATCGGTATGAACCATTTTCTAGGTTCTCGATAATTTAGTTGCAATATCACCTAGTACTCGACCAACCAAATACTATATAACAGTACACACGTTGTAACAAATCCCAAGTTAGTTGGTTTACCTTAAAATACTTTGCATCCGTTAAAACACTTAGGCATGCTGCTCCACCTTTCTCATAAGCTTGAGCAATTTCAACCTACCACAAAAACCTCTAAATTAGTGGCATATACCATGAAGAGTGGAAATAACAAACTAACAACAGTGTCAGATAAGTTGCCTGATGGGCGTGGTACATTGAGTGATACATGTCGCAACCCGAAAATTTTCGATCTTGCGACCTATGGTTTATACATCCTTTTAAAAGTCTCATTAATTAAGGAATGCCCGGACACCAGACTAATCCTTAATCAATGGTTTTGAAAATAGGTTCATGGAGTCGCCACCAATATTTTACTCAAAACATTGGAAAAAGAAAAGGTTTTTAAAGATCCAATAATGGCCTTGATAACCAGAATTGGGTTCGGGGGTCGGTTACGCTCCCCCCTTACCTCGATAAGCAGGAGTCGAATCTTGATGGTCGCCCCCTCTAGGTTCCCCTTCGTCTTCAGATGTAAAGGAAGAAAAAGATTAGAAAATGAAGAAATGAATTTTAAAGAGTGCAAAACGCTCTTTTTATAGGCACTAGGCCGCGGCCAGAACAGCCTGTTCCAAATCCGGAACGGCCTGTTCTGGATTCCTTCGTCACCTCAAAAATATGCCACCGGAACGGCCCGTTCTGGACTTATTAATGCTATGTAAAAAATGTTACCGGAACGACCCGTTCTTCAATCAGAACGGCCCGTTCTGGGTTCCAACTTTGCTTATAAAATCATGTCCTGGAACGGCCCGTTCTTAAATCGGAACGACCTGTTTCGATGCAAGATTTATATGCTATTCTAGTAGTTTGGAACGGCCCGTTCCAATTTCCCAACGGCCCGTTCTGGGCTACTAAAATATAAAATATTTTTTTTGTAAATAATAATTATTAAAATATTCATATTCATTAAAAATATCTAAAATACTTTATAAAACCCATTTAATTAGTTAAAATAATCATAAGAATTAATTTCCATATATAAAAATAATAATAACAATTAATTATTACATTAGTAAAAATTTTCAGGATGTTACAATTCAAATATAAATTATGGTTCAAACTCGACTAGTCATGTATATAAACTTAGGAATTAGATTCAAACTCGACTAAATGACAGATTAATTTAGGTGGGCTTTGATTTAAGTATGTCTTGATTTTATTGGTGGATTTTCTATTGGTAGAGATGTATTGAACTTTGAAATATTTAATTGATTTAAATAAAGTTTTTATCCAATTTATTGTTTCTTTCTTTTCAATTCTTGTATCTTTTTTATACGTTCAGTCATTCAAATACTATGTAATTCGTTTAGATTCAAAATGAATAAAATAATTCAAATTCTAAATAATTTAAATATTATAAATAATTTTTTTTAGGTACATGATATAAAAAAATGAAGTTACAAACTATACCTTCAACTAGAGTTTTTATGCATCAATAATATACATTAAAGACGAGTCAAGATAAGTTTAGCACGCTCCAATTTGGTGTTACTCCACAACACCACAAATAGCCTTTCTCCACTACAAATCAACGGTGTTTTTTTTTTTCAAGTAGGTGGTTTGTGGCCTTGCTCTTCCATGAACATTTGTTTGTTTTCATTTTCTATCTTTGTATTTGATTGATTGTTTGTATGCTTTACTTGAATTGATTATAAATTTGGTTATTTTTATGATGGAAATATATTGTTTTATTGGGATTTTAGTTTGCAAATCAACTATTTGGGAGACGAAGCAAGTGGAGAAGAAATGGGTGGAGGTGAAGGCCATGGAGACGAAGCAGATCTACAAAGAGAATGAGGAGTTGAGGCGGCACGTCAAGGAAAAAATGTTTAATGTGTGCAACATGGAAAGGATGAGGAGAGAGTTGCAGGTGGTGGAGAACAACATTATGACCTAAAGCATATACAAAATTGCTTATGAAACAATCGATTTTGTATGTGATTTTCAAAATTGATCAACACCTAGTTTTTAAAGTACTCAGATACAACATCAACATGAACAAAATTGGTTGTACAACCAATTATTTAGACCCTTTTTCCACTAATGACCTCATTTGGGGAATAATTATTCACATTCCTTGTTTTATTGTTTAAACTCCTACCTTTTCTAATTTCCTACCAATACAAATGTAATTTATAATTTAGTGTGACTTTATTCTTGCTTAGCACCATAACAACATAGAATAGAGATTGTTTCCTAGCACCATCATGCACAATACCACATTACTCATAGTTAGTGTCAGAAGCACAAAGAGCAATATTTGCTCTCTAAAGCTCCCTTGTTTAACTTACCACATGTCATGCTTTGTGTCAATCTAAGAGGTTCTCATTGTGACTCTTATGCTTAGTGCAGACCTAGTCTCACTTAAAGTTAAAGTTAACAGGTCTCCCTATGATTATTGCACTTAGAAAAGAAACACTCTCACTAGGCATCAAAGTAGGTGTAGCTTATTGTGGTTATTATGCTTAGTGTCAGCCTATATACGCTTAACCTCAAAAGAGGTAGAGTTGGGCTAACTCTCATGAGGAGTTCATGCTTAATATGAATGCACAATTTGTACAATTGTAGTTTTGTTATGTTAGTACTTTTAGGGTACTATAAACTCCTAATTTATTTATTATGTCTAATTGTGATTTATAGGTTCAATCCTATTAATACATTGCTATTTTATTCAAATAAACCCTTAATTTCATTTTATTAATCCACAAATCAATTCCTTACTCTCTCAAGAACCTTACAATTATTCATAACTTTTGATCCATTCACAATTACAATGTACTCAATCCAATTATTCAAATAGTGATTAATAACCATTATTCTAACAATGATTACAAGTGTAGGGAAAAAATACATTAGAAGGGGTTGAATATTTTTGCCAACTCAAATCACACAACAGATAATGGAAACAGATTATAGAAAAGCAAAGATTTTCTCTATCTCACTAACTCATTGGTTAGCCACCTCTAGAGCATTATCACTCTTAAATTATGGTGGATTAACCTTTATGAACACACTTAGAACACTATACTCCTGAGGAACTACTGATCTAAGTGTTTTAACCACCACCGTGTTGTTCTTCATTTAATCCAAGGTAGTCTACTACTTGGCCAACATGGCTTGATATTGCAAGTTTGTAGTTTTTTATTGAGTCATATCAACATTTTGTTGAGTCACATTAGTTGCCACCATTTCAATAGTCTAAGCTATATCTAGGCACCATTAGTTTTGTGGTGAATGAGGATATTTAAGAGGTTTACCCACTATTATAAATTGAGATCATAAACCCATAAGGAAACACTTACAACCAACACGACACAACTATAATATCTCAGCAACTTAGCAATAGAAACACAATAGGCTCATTCTCATAGAGTAGTGCCCAAAAAGACTCAACCAACTTTAAAATCATATAAGGTGAAGAAAAATAGTTGCATGGGGCATACATCCCTTATGGTTTACATATATATATATATATATATATATATATATATATAAGAAAAAAAAGGGATTCATTTACCTTAAAAGTAAGTTTACCTAAACTTATTACACTCAATAACTTAAGTTCTATATAAACTTTAATGATTCAATTGTTAAATTAAAATTTATAAATATATAGTAAAGTCTACAAATTTTAAAAAATTGAAAGTTATTTGATACTTTATTTCATTAATTCAAATTAATGGATAATCATAAAAACATTTTATACACATTGTAGGGGTGGCAAAACGGGCAGCCCGGCCCGTTTTGGCCCGACCCGCCAAAAATGGACCGGGCCGGGCCGAGCCATCAATGAAAAACGGGTTGAGAACGCTAGCCCGCCCCGCCTAAGGACGGGTTGGTGGGCCAGCCCGCATATAAAAAAATTGCAAAAAAAATGAAAAAAAAAATATATTTTATGTTAAAGA